CCGCCTCCTCATGCTGCTGCCAGGTCCAGAGTCTCTCATGGGTCCCTGTACGGCCTCCCATTGCTGCTGTCTCCATCGCCACACTCTGCCATGTGCCACTTTCAGGTCTCCTCACACTGCTGGTGTGTTCCATTTTGTCATAGGGTGCTGGCAGATTACGGGCCTCCCATTGCTGCTGCCAGGCCCGTAATCTGCCATGGGCCCCCGTACCGACCTCCTCATGCTGTGACCAGTTGCAACAAGGTGGAATTCAACCCTACATTGCTGCTTTCTCCATCGCCACAACTCGAAAGGCCATCACCACTTTCCTGATGTTACAAGCTGATAAAGGTACTCCCCCCTGTGTAACATAGATGTCAGCATTGGCAGCTCCCATGCGTGACACCTGCCGCTTGCTCAGGACCCTTTGAGGAGGCCACGCTATTCGTGAGTTGGCAGGACTATGGGATGAACGACGTCATTCCTCTGTTGCACGTCCTGGAACACAATGCTGTTTAACAATGGCTGGTCAGGGTGCGGTAGACGTGGCGCACAGATCTCAACGCCACATGACCCCTGTGGGGGCAGGACAGGAAGAAGAGGAGGAGGTAGAGGAGGACATTGGTGCTCAGGAATTATTGAGTGAAATGGGTGGTTTTTCCACTCAGCGGACAGCCAGGAGCAGGAGCATCTGGTAGAGGAGGAGGAGGAGGAGACAGAGGACCCAGACGCACCGTGGTGTGTATGCTGTGGAGATGGAGGCAGGGATTACGGGCCCTCGCATTCCTTGGCACAAATGGCCCATAGCATGCTCGGTTGCTTGCGTAGCGACAGCCGAATAATAACCATGCCCATCAGACAGAGGGATGACTTTTGGCTGTCCACCTTGTTGGACCCTCGCTACCGTAAAAATGGTGGCCTTTTTTCACACCTGCTGAGAGGGAGGCCAAAATAAACGTACTATAAAAACCACCTATGTAGTCAGTTGGTCTCTGCCTTTCTGCGCCAACGTCCATGCTCAGACACTGTGGGCCCTGTGCGCTCGCGTTCCCCAGCTGCCATGCAGCAGGGGAGGGGAGGGGTGGGGTGGTAGGAGCAGTGGCAGCTCCACCAGCAGCAGCTGCCTCAGTCTGCAGTCGCCACGATGATGATGTGTAGCTTTCTTCACCAGCGCAGTGAGGAAACTACTAACCAGCCGCAGCTGGCAGATTAGCAGCAGCATCAGGTGGACCTGGAGCAGGACCTCAAACAACAGGGCTCGGGCCTACTTGGACAGCACCCCTGCCAACCGAGGTAGACAATCCCCTTGACTACTGGGCAACGAAACTTGACCTTTGGCCCCAACTAGCTGAATTTGCCCTTGAAAGGCTGTCATGCCCGGCCAGTAGCGTGGCATCGGAGCGCTGTGTTTAGAGTGCGGCAGGAGGTATTGTAACTCCGCGGAGGACACGACTGTCCACCCAAAGTGTGGAGAGACTCACGTTTGTGAAAATGAATCAGGCAAGTGGATTAGTCTGGATTTCAAACCACCAGTTCCATGACACAACTGACAAATCCGCCATGAATCATGGTCCCCACACTGCTGGTGTTATTCCATTTTTCATAGGGTGCCTCTGTATGGCCTTCAATTTAAGCTGCTTACGCTTCGCCACTCTGCCATGGGCCCCCCGTGTACCGCCCTCCTCTTGCTGCTGCCAGGTCCAGAGTGTGTCATGGGTCCCTGTACGGCCTCCCATTGCTGCTGTCTTCCATCGCCACACTCTGCCATGTGCCACTTTCAGGTCTCCTCACACTGCTGGTGGTTCCATTTTGTCATAGGGTGCTGGCAGATTACGGGCCTCCCATTGCTGCTGCTGCAGGCCCGTAATCTGCCATGGGCCCCCGTACCGCCTCCTCATGCTGCTGCCAGGTCCAAGTCTCTCATGGGTCCCTGTACGGCCTCCCATTGCTGCTGTCTCCATCGCCCACACTCTGCCATGTGCCACTTTCAGGTCTCCTCACACTGCTGGTGTGTTCCATTTTGTCATAGGGTGCTGGCAGATTACGGGCCTCCCATTGCTGCTGCCAGGCCCGCTAATCTGCCATGGGCCAGGCCCGTAATCTGCCATGGGCCCCTGTACCGCCTCCTCATCCTCATGCTGCTGCCAGGTCCAGAGTCTCTCATGGGTCCCTGTACGGCCTCCCCATTGCTGCTGTCTCCATCGCCACACTCTGCCATGTGCCACTTTCAGGTCTCCTCACACTGCTGGTGTGTTCCATTTTGTCATAGGGTGCTGGCAGATTACGGGCCTCCCATTGCTGCTGCTGCCAGGCCCGTAATCTGCCATGGGCCCCCGTACCGCCTCCTCATGCTGCTGCCAGGTCCAGAGTCTCTCATGGGTCCCTGTACGGCCTCCCATTGCTGCTGTCTCCATCGCCACACTCTGCCATGTGCCACTTTCAGGTCTCCTCACACTGCTGGTGTGTTCCATTTTTCATAGGGTGCTGGCAGATTACGGGCCTCCCATTGCTGCTGCCAGGCCCGTAATCTGCCATGGGCCCCCGTACCGACTCCTCATGCTGTGACGTTGCAACAAGGTGGAATTCAACCCTACATATGTTAGACCCCCTTTACGAACAGCGAAAGGCCATCACCGATTTCCTGATGTTACAAGCGGATAAAGGTACTCCCCTGTGTAACTTAGATGTCAGCCATTGGCAGCTCATCCGTGACACCTGCCGCTTGCTCAGGCCCTTTGAGGAGGCCACGCTATTCGTGAGTCGGCAGGACTATGGGATGAACGACGTCATTCCTCTGTTGCACGTCCTGGAACAAATGCTGTTAACAATGGCTGGTCAGGGTGCGCGGTAGACGTGGCGCACAGATGCTCAACGCCACATGACCCCTGTGGGGGCAGGATAGGAAGAAGAAGAGGAGGAGGTAGAGGAGGACATTGGTGCTCAGGAATTATTGAGTGAAATGGGTGGGTTTTTCCACTCAGCGGACAGCAGTGGAGGAGCAGGAGCATCTGGTAGAGGAGGAGGAGGTCAGAGGACCCAGACGCACCGTGGCAGTATGCTGTGGAGATGGAGGCAGGGAGTCCCTCGCATTCCTTGGCACAAATGGCCCATAGCATGCTCGCCCTAATCTTGCGTAGCGACAGCCGAATAATAACCATCAGACAGAGGGATGACTTTTGCTGTCCACCTTGTTTAGGACCCTCGCTACCGGCCTCAAAATGGTGGCCTTTTTCACACCTGCTGAGAGGGAGGCCAAAATAACTACTATAAAAACCACCTATGTAGTCAGTGGTCTCTGCCTTTCTGCGCCAACATCCATCCTCAGACACTGTGGGCCCTGTGCGCTCCCATTGTGCCACCCCCGCTCCGCTGCCATGGCAGCAGGGGAGGGGTGGGGTGGTAGGAGCAGTGGCAGCTCCACCAGCAGCAGCTGCCTCAGTCTGCAGTCGATGATGAGTAGCTTTCTTCACCAGCGCAGTGAGGAAACTACTAACCAGCCCTGCAGCAGCAGCAGCATCAGGTGGACCTGGAGCAGGGACCTCAAACAACAGGCTCGGGCCTACTTGGACAGCACCCTGCCAACCGAGGTAGACAATCCCCTTGACTACTGGGCAACGAAACTTGACCTTTGGCCCCAACTTCTGAATTTGCCCTTGAAAGGCTGTCATGGTGTGTTCCCGGCCATAGTAGCGTGGCATCGGAGCGCGCTGTTTAGTGCGGCAGGAGGTATTGTAACTCCGCGGAGGACACGACTGTCCACCCAAAGTGTGGAGAGACTCACGTTTGTGAAAATGAATCAGGCGTGGATTAGTCTGGATTTCAAACCACCAGTTCCTGACACAACTGACTAAATCCGCCATGAATCATGCCCCAAACATGTTATTATTTTTAACATAGGCCTCTGTATGCCTTCAATTTAAGCTGCTTACGCCAGGCGCCACTCTGCCATGGGCCCCTGTACCGCCTCCTCTTGCTGCTGCCAGGTCCAGAGTGTGTCATGGGTCCCTGTACGGCCTCCCATTGCTGCTGACTCCATCGCGCCACACTCTGCCATGTGCCACTTTCAGGTCTCCTCACACTGCTGGTGGGTTCCATTTTGTCATAGGGTGCTGGCAGATTACGGGCCTCCCATTGCTGCTGCCAGGCCCGTAATCTGCCATGGGCCCCTGTACCGCCTCCTCATGCTCCTCATGCTGCTGCCAGGCCCGTAAGTCTGTCATGGGTCCCTGTACGGCCTCCCATTGCTGCTGTCTCCATCGCCACACTCTGCCATGTGCCACTTTCAGGTCTCCCACACACTGCTGGTGGGGTTCCATTTTGTCATAGGGTGCTGGCAGATTACGGGCCTCCCCATTGCTGCTGCCAGGCCCCCGTAATCTGCCATGGGCCCCTGTACCGCCTCCTCATGCTGCTGCTGCCCAGGTCCAGAGTGTCTCATGGGTCCCTGTACGGCCTCCCATTGCTGCTGTCTGTCTCCATCGCCACACTCTGCCATGTGCCACTTTCAGGTCTCCTCACACTGCTGGTGGGTTCCATTTTGTCATAGGGTGCTGGCAGATTACGGGCCTCCCATTGCTGCTGCCAGCCAGGCCCGTAATCTGCCCATGGGCCCCCGTACCGCCTCCTCATGCTGCTGCCAGGTCCAGAGTGTCTCATGGGTCCCTGTACGGCCTCCCATTGCTGCTGTCTCCATCGCCACACTCTGCCATGTGCCACTTTCAGGTCTCCTCACACTGCTGGTGTTTCCATTTTGTCATAGGGTGCTGGCAGATTACGGGCCTCCCATTGCTGCTGCCAGGCCCATAATCTGCCATGGGCCCCCGTACCGCCTCCTCATGCTGCTGCCAGGTCCAGAGTCTCTCATGGGTCCCTGTACGGCCTCCCATTGCTGCTGTCTCCATCGCCACACTCTGCCATGTGCCACTTTCAGGTCTCCTCACACTGCTGGTGTGTTCCATTTTGTCATAGGGTGCTGGCAGATTACGGGCCTCCCATTGCTGCTGCCAGGCCCGTAATCTGCCATGGGCCCCTGTACCGCCTCCTCATGCTGCTGCCAGGTCCAGAGTCTCTCATGGGTCCCTGTACGGCCTCCCATTGCTGCTGTCTCCATCGCCACACTCTGCCATGTGCCACTTTCAGGTCTCCTCACACTGCTGGTGTGTTCCATTTTGTCATAGGGTGCTGGCAGATTACGGGCCTCCCATTGCTGCTGCCAGGCCCGTAATCTGCCATGGGCCCCCGTACCGCCTCCTCATGCTGCTGCCAGGTCCAGAGTGTCTCATGGGTCCCTGTACAGCCTCCCATTGCTGCTGTCTCCATCGCCACACTCTGCCATGTGCCACTTTCAGGTCTCCTCACACTGCTGGTGGGTTCCATTTTGTCATAGGGTGCTGGCAGATTACGGGCCTCCCATTGCTGCTGCCAGGCCCGTAATCTGCCATGGGCCCCCGTACCGCCTCCTCATGCTGCTGCCAGGTCCAGAGTGTCTCATGGGTCCCTGTACGGCCTCCCATTGCTGCTGTCTCCATCGCCACACTCTGCCATGTGCCACTTTCAGGTCTCCTCACACTGCTGGTGGGTTCCATTTTGTCATAGGGTGCTGTATGGCCTCCCATTGCTGCTGCCTCCACCGCCACACTGTGGCTCCACACTCTGGTTTTGGCCCCGTGACTGCCCAAATGAGTGAAGTGTGCGGTGATTCTAAGATCGACGGCACTCATCTGCATGTCATACTGACTGACAGTATTATTTCTCTTCCCCAGCAGACTCCAAGGGCATTTAAATCTCTACTAATGACCAAAAGGACCATTACGAGCTGTAAAATTAATTTACTTGTGCTTTCATAAAGCAATGTGTTAACCTACCCTTTAGAAGGCAGACTTTGGCGGTGTCAGTCAGAAACTAATTTTCATCGGTGCCCCTCATCCACTCTTCTATGCAAGAAGAATTGAGCAAAATAGACAGATAAAGTGGATCTTGCAAACTTCTTCTACATAGGTAAGCTAATATACAATTCTTTATAGGTAAGCACAGGAGAAACTTTAATCCCTGGTTCCCATATATGTGGCCATGCAGGCCACGTTTTGCGTGGGCACGACAGCCCATTCATTTGAATGGATTCCCGTGCCCTGGGACAAGCAGAGAAAAAGTCCCTGCACTTCTTCCGAAAACGCAGCCCCCACGGGAACCTCAGTTCCCAGTACAGTTGCGTTTTCCAGTGCGGGCAGCGTACCATTAGAATTAATGGCACCTACCCGCGGTTCTACATTTCACTGTGTGGGTGGTGCAGCTGCACGGATTTTCGTGTGGATCCGCAGCAGCCCTACCCGCACAGATGTGAACCTAGCCTAACTATGCATTCAAATTTAACATTGAAACTGAAACTTTGAGATGCTTACACAAAGTGTAACTTGCATCAACCTGCATCTAAAACCTACCTGCTAAATAGTAACATCATACCCAAATCCATGGCACTGCTCCAGACCTATAACTCTTAATGTCCACAACTGGTTGCCGGCTGCTGTAGCCTTTCTCTGCTCAAAAATGAGAATATAAGAGGATAAAGAGTCACAGTCCGCAATTAGCTTGGTCTTGATATTTTATTTTGTTGATGATAAGGTAACTGCATACATAAAGTCTCCCCCAACACTCCCTAAACATGCTTCACCCCAATGAGCTTGCTTACAAGGATAGAGTAGGTAAAAGTTAAAGGTAAAGCTTTACCTATTCTATCCTTGTGGGCAAGTCCACTGGGGCTTGGGTAGAGATAATATGTATGCAGTTACTTTATCATCGACAGAATAAAATATCAAAAACAAGCTATTTACAGCATCAACTCTTCATCTTCTTATATTCTAAATGCTAAATAGTTAAAGTTTTCAGCAAAAAAATGCTATATTGTACCAATCTACCCACTCCCTTTTGTTGCTAATCTGGTGATCCTGGAACGCACCTATTGGTGATACTGGGACATCCACTTAAGGCTCCCTACTGCCTTTCACATAAAGAAAAAAGCCTTATCTAAAAAAAATAAAGAGTTAAGATTTGTTTCATAGCCTCCAGACTGAAACAAGTGTGATTGTAAATCATGATGCAGGAAACAAAGAAATTTGCACAGGACAGCTTTCAGGAAGCATGCTCCTACTGCCCTCTTAGTGTTCCTGCATAGAAATATGTATTCTAATTGTGCAGAGGATTACACACAAATTGGATTAAGATACACCGAGTCAATTCACAAATGTTTTCACCCAAGAGTTACAAAAAAAAAAACATTTCTCGGGACATCTTTTTTGCTGTGCATCCAGCAAGCCATTGTAGGCACAGAATATAATTTAATTAGAAGCAGGGCATTCATTTAAAATGGATGTAGTTCTATAAGAGAAATATCTAAAACCTATCGAACAATTTAATTTAAAATACTTAGAAGATATATCATAGTAAGGACAAAAACATAACTAGGCATGTGTTTTTCGTTAGCAAAACATTATTTATGTACAGTATTTGTTTAGCTAACTGCAACTTTTAAACCTGCTATATCTGCCATATGCTGAATCAGCTGATATTAGAGCTATGGGGACCCTGTCATCATCACCTTGCTCTACAAAAGCTGATTTCAAAATTGAGGGGTCAATGACTGCATCTTATATAAAACCAAAAACATGAGGTAAATAACTCATAAAGAGGCTTTAAAGTCAATTCACTAAAGGAAATAAATAAATCCTTGAGTTAAATAAGTAGTGGTCCAGGCATGAGGTATTTAAGGAATGTAAAAATATAAAAGCCAATCTGGAGTTGTCTCTACCTTTTTGGATCAGTTTCTCACCAGTAATGCCTGGAAGCCTAAATATGGCAAAACACAGAATCATTAGGGATGATTTACTTAAAGTATAAGTAAAGGCAAAACTTTATTTTTTTTAGTTTTGGGTAGAGTGGAGATGGATTAGTCCCCCTGTCAGGTTTTTTATGCTGAGAAAAGGAGAGGAAGGCGCCTCTAAGTGCAGTATTGACAATTTATTTAGTAAACAATGGATAAATTGCACTTATTATTAGTATACAGTATTTATATAGCGCCAAAAAGTTTGTTCAGCGCTGTAAATTATAGTGGGGGACAGTACATGAGACAATACAGTAACAAAACAATACACGAGGGATTTGAGGGCCCTGCTCTTTCGAGCTTACTGTCTAGGAGGGAGGGGATAGTGGTACAGGAGGAAGTGGCTGTGGGGGATGGAGTGGTAGGAGGAGTGGAGAAGATCGGCTGTTAGGTGAGGGTGGAGTAGGCTTCCCTGAAGAGATGGGTTTTCAGGGTGCGCCTAAAGGTGAGGAGGGTAGGTGACAGTCTGATGGATTGGGGTAGTGAGTTCCAGAGGATGGGGGGAAGTCCTGGAGAAGACTTGCAGTCGGGCATGGGAGGAGGAGACCAGGGAGCTAGAAAGTAGGAGGTCTTGTGAGGCGCGAAGAGTACGGGTTGGGTGGTATTTGGGTATCAGGTCTGTGAGGTAGTTTGGGGCAGCGTTATGAATGGCTTTGTATGTCAGTGTTAGTATTTTGAATTTAATGCGTTGGGCAATCGGAAGCCAGTGGAGGGAATGACAGAGGGGGGTGGTAGAAGCGGAGCGGTTGGTAAGGTGGATGAGTCTGGCCACTGAGTTCAGGATAGACTGAAGTGGGGATAGCCTGTGTTGGGGTAGGCCGGTGAGAAGGGAGTTGCAGTAATCCAGACGTGAGATAATAAGGGAGTGAATGAGTTGTTTAGTAGTGTCTGGGGTTAGGAACGTACGTATTTCGGAGATGTTGCGGAGGAGGAGCCTGCATGAGTTTGTCAGCGATTGGACCTGGGGTTGGAAGGACAGGTTTGAGTCTAGAGTGACACCTACGACTTTGGCTTGCAGGGTGGGACTGATGGTGGCGTTGTTGGTCGTGATGGAGAGGATGGGGGGGGGGGGGCACGGGCTGGGGGGAAAATTAGGAGCTCGGCTTTGGAAAGATTCAATTTGAGGAATTGGAGCGACATCCAGTCTGATATGTCGTTCAGTAGGATAAATAGTTAAAAAGACTCATCGTGTGGTAATTAGATCCAGGTGGGACATCCAGCCGTCCAGCAGCAAACTTTGTCTATAGGATCAGAGTCCAGGATGTGCCTGTGCATCAAAATGAAGCTAGGAGAGCAGAGTTGGATGTAGGAGGTGAAGGGGGCAGTAATGCATTTTGGAGCATGCTCAATAGGCTCCTTCAGAGGTAAGAGGAGATCTGGACCTTTCCGTGAGTACCGGACATGTGTGCTGGGAGCGCGTAGGGCGCGCGCTCTCAGCACATATGTTTTTCTTCATTGCACACAAATGTACATCGGGAGGCCACACATTTCTGTGCGGCCAGCGTGAAGAGGTTAAAATCCCTGCTCACTTTTTATCAGCTGACAAATGGATACATTTTATTTTTTAAATGGCTTTTGGTTATTTTACACTTATCTGTTTTAATTAACAATTTTTAAACTTCTTAAATTTCATTCTTCACTTTACACATTCTGATGCACTGTGACAGAGGTGGTCTGCTGGCTTCAAAAGAAACTCGAAATGCGTCAGCCAGTTGGTCATCCAGGTTTCCATCGTTCCATCGATGCTATATGGATTGAACACCACTGTTCATTGTGATGTGCCTGTGTTTTATATGTCCATTGTGAGTATGACACCTACTTTTATCCTTTCAATAAATATTTTTTACGATAATGTATTAGGCAGGTGCGCCCTCTTTTTGTTTTTCTTTTGTATCCAGTGATTTTGGACTACCCCAGTCCATTGAGGGCAGCAAGGAGTGCATATTCCAGGACATTTATATTGTCATCCTAGCCTCTCAGTCCTTCCCCCAGCACAGGAGTAAAGTATTTGCTGTGTTTGAACGGTCTGCTGGCTTCAGCTGTCACTGTGCCTCTTTCTGTGAGGTATACTAATCGCACAAGATGGCAGGTTTCTTTGTTCACAAACCTCAAGTTTTTGGCTTTCATGGTGATTACATGATTGCCAGCTTCAATGACAGGTTCCCAATTGTTAGTATGAGACCCAAAGACCTGTCAGTGACAGCACTATTTCAGATTTAAGAGCTCACATTGGTGCATGCTAATAGTAAAAAAATGGAACATGGAGATTAATAAACTCTTGGCACAATGCTTGTTTGCCTGGGAACATTTGCAGTCAGGGGTTAATGTCTTTTTATTTTTCTTTGTTGCAGAGCAGAAAAAAAGGAGCAACTAAACATGGAAACTGGTATACCCTCAGAGATATCCTCATAAAACCACTGTGAGCTTTAACACGCTTGTGTGAAGACAACAGATTATTATATGCAATCTTTATATTACTTTAGGGGTGAGACCGTAATCATGTTTGTAAAAATGTTAAATATAATATAAATATGATCCAGTCTGTATGTTCCCTAGATTTGCCTTCAGATGCTAAGCACAAAAACACAACAGATCATTAACCATTTGCCTACCGGGCACTTTTACCCCCTACGTGCCCAGGCCAATTTTCAGCTTTCATCGCTCTCACACTTTGAATGACAATTGCGCGGTCATGCAACACTGTACCTGTATGATATTTTAATAATTTTTTTCACATAAATAGAGCTTTCTTTTGGTGAAATTTAATCACCACTAAGTGTTCTATTTTTTGTACTATAAACAAAAACAGAGCAGCAAATTTGAAAATAAAAGTTTTTCTTTGTTTCTATTATAAAATTTAGCAAACATGTAATTTTTCTCCTTCACTGATGTGCGTTGATGAGGCTGCAC